CTTTGACTTGGACTATTGTTTTCCTTAATTTTTTAATTCAGTTGGTTCTTTCCTTTTGTAGTTTCAACTTTGTTCTATGCTATTTTTGTGGTGGTTATTACTGTAACAGTAGAGCACCTGGAGAGGTCAGAAAAGTGTTGTTTAAACCACTGTCGTTTCACAGGGAACTGTTGGCACACATCATGCCAGAGGGATTTCTGATCAGTTTTTAAAAGCAAGGGTAACACAGGTGCTATTTCTGAGGTAAACACTGGACACCTGTAAGGTACAATGTGGAAAAACCAGCGAGGGTCAGCATCTGCACTGCAGTGGATTTCTAGCTTTAGCATCAGGTGTTCAGCACTTGATGACTGGAAGAAGGATGGAAAACTACATTGCAGAGGTCCGATAGCTATAAGAATGTCAGCACATGCCTGTTCCACCATGCATGGCTTTGTGTTGTCTCCTATGTCAGTCGATAAACTAGCTTTAGGCAGGTGTAAGCTGTCTGCTCAGCCTTTTCTTCCTCTTCTCTTCCATATTGTTTTCCTGCACCTTCATTCTAGTTGGGTAACTGCTTCTCTGCTATTAATTCTGAATATTAAGTCATCAATATCTGATTACACTCCTGCAGCTTCCTTCCACCAGTCTATCAAAAAGGCAAATTAGCACCCATCATTTGGAGATACTGTTGAACTCTGACATAGCTGATTATTTCTAAAATCTTAATTGATATATATGTATCAGAGTGTGCTTTGTGGGGAAGTATGAAGAGTGACTTTGCCAGCAAATCTTCTGTAAAATTCAAAGTTCCTCTACCTGTGACTCATGTAGTAATCTGTAGTAGTCTGTTGATTCTACAGTGTCCTTAACAGTGTCAGACAATGTATTGAGGTAAAAGAAAGGAACAGATCAATAGGCCGTAATTCAATTAATAATCAAGAGTCAGGTTCTAATAACCATGTTCCTCCTGGAAAAGCAGGTTAAAGGTTTCCTGTGGAAAACCTTTAACATTAATTCGAGCAAAAGTTGAAATAGGAGGATGTTATGTTCTGCTTTCTTGTCAGCACTGAAAACAGAAGCAGTGCTGAAGGTATTCTGGGTAGCACAGTAATAAAACTGTGATCCAAACCTTGCCTTTTGGTGTCTTGTTTCCATGTCTTTGAGACTGTGGTTGGATGAAGTGTACTTTAATGTGATTTTTTTCTTTTTTTGACAGTGAACAGTCCATATGCCAGTGTGTACCTGCATGCTTATGTTTTAGATAGAAATTTATATATAGATTTGGTGGTGTAGAGATATGTATATGCATACAAATATAGATAATTTAGGGTGTAAACCAAACTGTAGTGCATTCTGTTGATGTGTGACCTTGAAATCCCAGTGTTTCCCTTCCTCTCATCTCCAGCTGAGTGCTCAGTGCTACCCAGTGTAGAATGACATGTGAGAGCTACTTGCTTAATCATCACTTTTGCAACTGCCTCTCGATCAACTTTTATAAAATGCTCAGTGATGGGTGTTGACTGATTAACAACTTTTAGTAAAGACACAGAAGGTAGTAGAACTAAGGCCTGATGTTGGTGGATTAAATGTTGGTCTTTCAAAAAGATGAAACCAAAAATAGCTGCCTCTTCCATTGCAAAAGAGGACAATGCTAAGCTCTGTTGTGCACAGTCACTCCCAACAGATGTCAGCAAGCCTGGAAAGACCAGCTAGGTGAGAGCACTCTTGAATTCTCTTGTCCAAGTTCTAGCTAGGAATGAGCAGATACAGCCTTGGTAATTCATGCTCCTGAATACCTCCAGATTTGCAAAAATAAATGTGTAAACAAATAAATGAATAGAATCCTAGAACCTGGATCTCTTCTTAAGACTGTACAGCCCGTTTCCAGAAATATTACCTAGGGATCTCTGATACAAACCAAACCCTAGTAACTTCTCCCCAAGGATGTGAAAGTGTTCATTTCTGCATGTTCTGCTCATGTGGTCAGCACAGCTTCTCTTCTCCTTGTTAATGGTGCCTTGCCTCACATGCAGATGCTGTGAGAAGAGACAGTGGAATTCTTACAGCCTTGAGAAACCACTGTGTGCGAGATCCTGGTATGAACAATTTGGCTGAATGACAGCTGGGGAGATAGAGGAAAGTAAGTATGTGTTGTCCATAAATATTTGAAGAAGGAGGAGGAAGGCTTGGGGTTCCTTGACGTTTTATTTTTTCTTTAATTGTTGGGTTATGCTTATCAGCTGGTGGGTACACTGCTGTTGTCAAGAAAAACTCACCAAAATAGATTGGGAGCGGAGGAAGAGGGAGCTGACCGGATCTTTCTGGTCATACTCCTTTCTGACCATACTCAGATGAGGAGGTACGTGACTTCTGTAATAGTGTTCTTTTTTTGCCCTCAAGTGCTAGCTTTGCCTCTTCAAAACGATTAAAAACAAACAAAAAACTATTGCAACAGCAGATTTGGGAATCTGTTTGATCGCTTGAGGTAACTGATGATTGAATAATATCTTCACTTCCTGGAAAATTTTAGAATGAGTTTTATTTTTCACTTAGTATGGTGATTATTCCTCTTTCACAGTGTGAGGCATTGCTGCTATGACTCTGTAATTCCTGTTTATCTGAAAAGGAAAGTGGTGATACGGCAGCTCGTGACCAAATGTCTAGCAAATGATGGCTGTGTCCTTCAGTTCTGCTTGTTCTGTGCAGATTTTCTCTCTCTTCCAAGAGAACGAGGCATGTCAAAAAAAAATCTGTTCGAGATTTTTAGGTCTCACAAACTGGACAATAATGACGCTGCTTACGTACGTTCACCTTTTCTATGATACTGTTTTAGTAGGCTTAACCACAGATTTAAACCCATTTCCCTTTTTATGTAAGTTATCACATCCTTACTCCATGATACAAAACTAAGGTAAAAGCATATTATAATCCATGTATTTTACAAGTAGCTGAATGGCTGTAGTATGAAATAATGTTTTAGTCTGTATTTATTTTTCTCTTCCCCAGCCCAGTATTTATTTTGGTAATTCCACTGTAGTTACTAGGATTGCAGTATGATCAAATGTAAACCCACCGTTACCACTGAGGGATTCTCAGTAATGTTCTGTTTCAGAGAAGCTGAAGAAAGCTGTTCCTCAGTGCTGGCCCCATGAGGGGAGCAGCAGCCTTCATGCTGGTGGGCAGCAGGGAGGCATGGCTGGCTAGCACCAACCACGGCTTGGGGAGACTACCTGGTTCACTTCAGTGGCTGGGGTTTTTTCATTTAGCAGTGAAGATCAGCACACTGCTGCAGTCTGACTGGGAATAACTACAATCTTTGGGCAAACACTAGGCATAACATATTGATTTTGGTATGAAATAAGTGTTCAGAGCTTAGCTTGTTCCTTTTATTGTTGTCAAGTCTTTGCCAGATACCTCCCCCTAGTGCTCATAAACCAAAACCCAAACCAGAAAGCGACTGTTCAGAGTGCAGCAGGCCTGCAAGAATCGAGAGGTGACTGGTTTGATCCACACTATCTGTTTTACCCTTAAGGCTGCATCTGCATGCACCAAAGTCTTGGCTCTTTGCTGAAAGTAAGCGTAGTTTGTCTCGTGCTGCTCTGTACAAGTTCTGTGCTTTTTCTCTGTCTGAATGTGCGGTTTCTTCCTCATTCAGCTGGAATGCCTGTGAAAAATAAGTCCGGTTGGTCAGTGGTGGCACTTGGGAATGCTCAGAATGTCTCTGCGTGACGCGTACTGAGCCTTCTCGTCGGGACAGTGCACAGGCTCCAGCATGCAGTAGGCTTGGCTCGCTTGCGTAGCAACCTCCTGTTTTCTCTACAGGGTGAAATTAAAGCTGCTTTTTCTTAGTCTAGCTGTGGTACTCTGACACTCAGGTTATTTCAGGGTTCTAGTTTTAATAGGATTTTTCACTCAAACAGGCCTGAGAGACCTCTGAAGTCAGGCAAAGTGCAGGTGTTAAGCTCGTCTTTATTGGCTGTTACTTTTCTCCTGTTGTTGGCTCAGCGTTTCCTTCTCCGAGAGGCAGATGTATGGTAACAATATATAGCAGAAGGCTGAATGCATATAATTCATGTGCTACATGACTTATTAAACAGTCATAAGAGACGGTACTGCTAGCTGGTCCTGAATGTGAAGCCAGTCTGTAAAAGACAGTTTGGCACATAACCAGCTCCAAAAGAGGTTATGACTGTTACTTAAGTTAACAAACAACAGAATAAAAAGAACAAATAGAGTAATAAAAGAGGGAATTTACATACAAATAAAAGCAGCTGGAAATAAAGAGGCCAGTAATCCTAGTGTTCTGGTGTATCTCATCAGACTGTTTCTTCCCCATCTCAGCTAGAACTGGGAGGAGGAGAGGTAGTAAGGCATTGCATTCACACCTCCTTAAAGGCAGGGAGAAGGGCAGAGTGAATTCATACTCTTTGCTGTTGCTCTTGGATAGAGCCATTTTTATCCAAGTCTGTGGTACCCAGGGAACAGTGCATTTAAAAAAAGAAAGGAAAAAAGAAGTTGTAAGAACTATGAACAATTGGAAGGAAAGTGCATTCATTGAAATGGAGGCCAACCCATTGAGAAATGTCAGGGGTCTGTTGTATTTTTCTTCCAGTAGCTGCTGCTGTTCTCCTGTAGCGCTCTTCCTTCTTTTTAATTAATTCTCTTCCCTGCCTCACTTGAGCCCTGTGGTTCTGTGTTTTTTTTATTTAGCGGTGGTGGGGAAAAGTACGTGGGTGCGTATTATACACCTATACACCTCCACATGCCAGATCACACCACTCCTCCCCCCATATCTGCACGCTGGTAGCTCCAGTGACCTAGGCAGGTCTCCGCAGAGGGAGAAAGGAGAAAATTCTCCCTCTCTGTAGCTGCTGGCGTGCAGACAGGAATTTTTACTGCACGTCTGGAGAATACTGATACTCAGCAACAACTTGCCGAGATCAGGCTTGGGTTAATGAAAACAATAAACCCACCACTTACCTTCCAAATGGATTTCCATGGAGACAACTAGACGGTAATAGTGTTTGGACTTTTTTATTCAATAAAAGTTTGAGTTATAAATATTCTCCATTTGTTTCCTATTTACAGTTGTAAAATATTTTAGGATAGCCTACCCATCACCTGTCATTCAACGTCTCTATAAATGCCATGAAAACATCATTGTGAAATAAACTGTCTTATTTTTAGCCCACAAACCCAATTTCCACACACTCACAAAATATAATCAAAGGGACAAAAAAGAGGAGAGAAGGGACCCAGGGGGTGGGGGGGCAAGGAGAATACAGTACAGCAGGCAACAATGCAATATTTGCTACACAGTAGCAAAAGAAACGAGTAAAAAATTTAGTCTGCTATGATGACAGGCTTTTCAGGACATTTGTTATAGACCAGCGTTGTCCAGTGCATTTCTGAAGGACGAGTTGAAATCCAAATTCATTTTCATTGTTTTCCTGCAATTCCAGGCAACGCTTGGATTTTCGGTTCTGGATTGGACCTCCCTTTAAAGATGGGGAAAAAAAGAAGTGATTGGTTTAAACATTCTGAACTTGTTGCGTTGCTACTGTGTGATAATAGAGATGAGAGAGCATGCCAGCGTCCATCTACTAAAGACCACTGCTACTGTGAGAAACGTTTCGGTTAGACAAGATAAGCACTAGGTTGGATTTGGAGTGAAGGTTCCCTTTGTCACAGGCTGGTTTAATCTCTCATGCAGTTTAGAACAGCCTCAGTTCCCTGGTTACCACTTCAGCAAACAGGGTTTCTAGACTTGGGCTGTGTTTCTAGGCATGCTTTTTCACCAGGAGTCAAAAGCTTTCCTGTTTGCTGCAGTTACCTAGCTTAGTGGCTCTGCTGCATCTCTGAACCATCAGAAAAAGGCAAAAGAGGACCTTGGCCAGGAGTGTCCTCTGTGTAGAATAAAATGCCAAAAATTGTTTATTCTTTGAATTCCAAAATGAACTGTCGGTATAAGCTTATGTTGCTAACCCTCTGTATTGACTCTGCTTGATTCTCAGGTGCGTACTGCCATATGAAAGCTCTGCCTTCACTGCTGAGCTGCAGCAAATCTGAAATCACTAGGGCTATCACACAGTTCACTCTAGACCTAAATCACAATTAAATCATCATGTAGGTGACATGAATTACATTTTTTTTTTTCCTTTTGTTCTGGTTTCAGTTGGTTGTCTCACCCTCTCTCCTGTCTAATAAAGATAATAGATAAGGTGTACACATTAATGACTGCGAAGCTTCTTCCAAGATATACAGTGACTTTCTCTAGAGCATCTGGGACTTGTGTAGCAGAGAATTACTGGCTTAGACTGCAAATCAAAGAATGGAGTATGTCAGGACAGATTACGACAGTTGAACTATGGAAAGTGCAGCCACATTTAAATTAGTTATTTGTACAATTGGGGGGAAAAAATAGTTGCTACTGAAAAAAATCCCAACCAAACAAAAAAACCCCACCAAACCCCAAAAAACCCAAATCCAAACCATCCAACCCCATACAAAAAGCCCCACCTCACCAGTTTTGTTTAAGTCTGTGTTATACCTTGCATTAGAAGTCATAAATGTGATAGATCTCTATTATCATCACAAGGATATTGGCATAAATCCCACAGAAATGCTGAGTTTGCTTTCAGAGAAGGCTGTTCCTCAGACAGGGGTAGCTTGTGCCACTCAGTACAGGATTTCCTTCATTCAGAGAGGTGACTGGGGTCTCCTCTCCTACCAGTTATACTTAGAACTCACTTCTCAGAGGAAATACTTACTAAAAACATTTTTTGGACCTGGCTAGTGAAATACAGAATTAGGTTTGAAAGCTCTAAATTTTAAATATGGCTTTGGGTAAGAGAGAGAGCATTGCTAGAGGAATCCACAGAATTCAAAACACGAGGCTCCCATAAATCCTCCTTGTTAGGCCTGCGTGCAGCCTAGGTACAATTCTCACCCATTACTTTACCAGACAGGCAGGCATACGGTAGG